TTCAAATTGGTGGTCGTGTCGGGCTAGATAGGATTCGTGAGTCTCATCAGGTCTTTGGGTGGTTCCGTAAATGCATTTCCGAGCCATGGTCTTCCTGGAACCCCCTCAAGGCTTCCGAGGTGAAGTGGTCCTACCTCGGCCGCTTGGGGCTCCGCTACCAATGTGTATTGCACACACTGGCGCGGGCCCCGGGCCACCCTCCTCCAAACAAGCAAAGCAGCGCCGCCAGGCGCAAACACTCTTTTCCACCAACTCTCTCCAGGTCGTCCTCGACCAAAAAGGCTGTGCTCTCTCCAACGGTCGTCCTCGACCTTTGCCAAGCTCTCTCCAACGGTCGTCCGCGACCGATGCACCACGAGTGGTGCTCCCACTACTAAGCCCCCTGACTTCGAGCCTAGTGCGGCGGTCATCCCAAAAAAACACTGCACACAGTGGACCCGCGAACGAACGAGTTGCTGATTGCCTTGGCACGAAATCCGCCGACCCCACACCGTGGGGTGAGGCGTGACTGTCGATGTTAGCCTTAGCCTTAAGCCTTAGCCTTAGCCTTAGACCTTAGACCTAGTCCTTAGCCTTAGACCTAGACCTTACCTCCCCTACCCCTCCAGACCCTTGTTGCATTCGCGAAATCCCGCCCGGAAAGCGACCTGAGCGACCCGGGAATTGTCCAAGACTCTGCCATCCCAATTGATTTACATCTTGGGGCACCCTCTCGACCCGCGCGGGAAAATAAGTACGGTCCAAAATGGTCCTGGGCTCGAATCCCGGGCTGGTCGCGGCATGGTCCCGGCCAATGCCCTTGCTTTTTCGTAGATTTTCCCTCAAAATTGGTAACCTTTTGCTAGTTCCTGCCAATGCCCTTGATTTTTCCGGGAATACTCTTGGCCGCACTTAGATTTTGTGTCCAAAATGGTCCTGGGCTCGAATCCCGGGCTGGTCGCGGCATGATCCCGGCCAATGCTCTGGCTTTTTCGTAGATTTTCCCTCAAAATTGGTAACCTTTTGCTAGTTCCCGGCCAAGGCCCTTGATTTTTCCTAGGAATACTCTTGGCCGCACTTAGATTTTGTGACGTTTTCGACTAGATGTTAGGAATGCTCTAGGCTTTGTTTATTCGGGAGGGTGCTTTTCCAAACATTTTCTTGCATGTCCTCTTGTCTCGACCCGCGCGGGAAAAGAAGCACGGTCCAAAATGGTCCTGGGCTCGCATCGTCATCGCCGCGGGGTTCACGCAAGGGATCACGTATGGTAAATCTGGGAGGTACCCAAAAAGTCGACTGTTTGGGAATCTAGGAGGACTTTCGACTTTTTGGGTAGCTGCTGTGGTGGTGATGGGTCTGAACTCTGAGGCAATGATGTCCGATGGTAAATCTGGGAGGTACCCAAAAAATCGACGTTTTGGGTACCTGTGTTCATGCAAGAGATCACGTATGGTAAATCTAGGAGGTACCCAAAAAGTCGACTTTTTGGGTACCTGCTGTGGTGATGGGTCTGGACTCTTAAGCAATGATATCCTCTATGGGGAGCAGGGTTCAACATCACGGGGTTCATGCAAGCGATGACGTCCGATGGTAAATCTGGGAGGTACCCAAAAAGCCGACTATTTGGGTACCTATTTGGGTACCTGCGTTCATGGGTTCAGCATCACGGGGTTCATGCAAGCGATGACGTCCGATGGTAAATCTGGGAGGTACCCAAAAAGTCGACTTTTTGGGTACCTGCTTTGGTGATGATGGGTGGGGTTATCGCGAGAAACCGATCGATTCAGCACAAGTCCGGGCGCTGAGTCGACTTTTTGGGTACCTGCTGTGGTGATGGGTCTGGCCCATAGAGGATATCATTGCTTAAGAGTCCAGACCCATCACCACAGCAGGTACCCAAAAAGTCGACTTTTTGGGTACCTCCTGGATTTACCATACGTGATCTCTTGCATGAACACAGGTACCCAAAACGTCGACTTTTTGGGTACCTCCCAGATTTACCATCGGACATTATTGCCTAAGAGTTCAGACCCATCACCACCACAGCAGCTACCCAAAAAGTCGAAAGTCCTCCTAGATTCCCAAACAGTCGACTTTTTGGGTACCTCCCAGATTTACCATACGTGATCCCTTGCGTGAACCCCGCGGTGATGACGATGCGGCTAGCGCTAAGGTTCTATCCCTTGGGGGTCGGCGGCTGCAGGCGGTAGCCTGGTAAATAACAAGATACATACATATATATTTATATATATGCTAGCCCCCCCCCCCGAAAACCTATGTTTCTGAGTGCTGGTGTGCAGTTGGTAAGCATATTTGTTCATTTAACTATGTACTACAAAAATGTCCAAATCCATAAGGTTATGTGTTTACTAAACAGTTCTTGGATGGAGTACTCTAATTCATTGCAACTCCATGCAAAACCATCTGTCTGGTTTTTAGGGTGTGAATTGTACTCCTCTTATTGAATGCAGTTGAGCAAGTACATCATAATCAGAAGGCAAAGAATTGCAAACCCTAAATAAGTAAATTCCAGTCTAATTCTAATTAACTTAAGTTCCAATCTATTCAACTCTACCCTACTTTGTATATTCAAATTCAAATTTGAGTCTATTTCAATTATTTGTAAATTATATTTTGAGTCTATTTCATTATTTGTAAATTGTATTTTGGTTCAAAGGTCTATCACTATATATTCTAATTTACTTGGGATTCAATGCAAGCCTAATTTGATTTCAAGCAAATTCTAACTTCATTGCTATACAAGTCAGATTCAATTCTAATAGTGTATTCTTTTTCAATTTAGTTTTAATTTGAGTGAAATTCTCATTTACTCCTAGAGAAGGGTGTTACTTTGAACATGAGAGATTTTATGTAGCTTTTCCAATATAGAAGAATGTGCTTTCTTAAATGAATTAAATTCACCGCCAGCAACACCCACTCTCTAGAATGACACCAAAACTGAATTAGAAGTCCATGTGCATTGAACTAGAATCAAAATAGGATGAAATTAGACATATAGAAACCAAACCTAATTTGCAATGACAATAGTGTAAAATTGGATGTGTAAAACAATTGAATCTGAACCGTATAAAGGCATTAACATTAGACATTAATTACTAGTAAATTGGAAGAGTCAAAGTTACAATTGAACCCAAAATAGAATGAAATAGAACTAAATTAGAAGTAGACTGGAATTAAATTAGAGTTGAAAGAGTAACATTGCATAATAATCCATTACTTAAATTGAAATTGACTTAGAACTAAGGTAGAATTGAATTAGAATTGTTTTACCTAGAGCTTGGTTAGTAGAACAGTATTGACTTAGAACTAAATTGGAAATCTAAGTTCAAATAGAATTGAACTAGATCTAATTTGCAATCTCAATTTGATTTCAATTATATAAAGTTCAATTAGGATCATTTTCTATTCAAATTAGAAGCACGTTGCAGATTCAAATTTAGATTCAAGTTTGAATTCCATTAGATCTAAAATAGCCAAACATAATTAGAATTAAAATAGAAATGCGTAAATTAGAATAAACAACTGAATTAGAATTTGTCTATACAATGAAGTTAAGCTAAATAGACTTAAATTCGAATTCAATTAGGCTCAACTTAGGCTTAAGGTTGAACTATGTTACATACTCAAATTAGAATCCAATTTAAAGTTGAAATAGACTTCAATTAGACTCAACTTAGAAAGTTAAATAGAAATGCAAGTGATTTTAAATTGGAATAAGAATTGACTTAGAATTTAGTTAAATTGTATGTGCACTAAAATTCATAGAAGTAAATTAGAGTTGAATTAGTTGTTAATTAGAATTGAATGAGGAACAAATGTCGGTAATCAGTAATATTCCAGGATCAAAATGTACTTAGTGCAATTTTGTCACTACCAGAGAATGCATTCCTGCCCAAAACCAAGATCCAAGATCCAAGATTTGCACAGAAGTCTTGTGGAAAATCTTGGATTT